TCACTTGCAACTTGACACAGCACCAGGATTATAATGATCGGGAAAGTCTTCATCATAGAGACACGATGTAGGATACGTGTTGCACGAGATACCCTGCTAAAATGTGTGGCAGGCAAATGTGTCAACAACCCGTTGACTCACACACATGTGACACACGGTGCTTAATATTCATTATGCACCATAATGCATAGGAGATCCGTGTAAAATGCTGAAAGATTTGTTGAATGAAAGAATGTGAGCTGGCCACCGATAAAATAAACGTACATTCAAGAAAACAACGCTGCCAAATTCAAGTAAAATGAAAATGAACAAGGCAATATTGAAATAGTGTCAGGAAATGCAATTTTACGAAACCTGACGAGATTGGTATTGCTATACATGTTGGTGTGAAAATTCATCTATGTATTATTATTTAATGGTGATTCATATCCTTTTCGTCGATGAAGCGTGCTCTTTACAAGCTGGTTTGTATTGCACTGACATAATTACAAATTTGACTATCAGATCTACACAACTAAGAATCAGTATGGTGGTACGCACCTGTTAAAACAATAGGCAGGCTGAGCAAGCTTCCAACTTACACGAAGTCATGTAAATAAAGCATTCCAAAAAGAATTTAGTTCACTTCAACCCAACATTGCCCAAGTACTGCCTGAGGTCCGCTGTAAATCTATCCAGTACTCTTTAAAAAATACGTTTGTGTTTATTTTAATAATTGATCATAATTGATGCACTACTGTACACGGACTGCTCTATTGATGATATTTATTAAATCGAATGTTGATATGAGTGCACCACCTACGTATTGACAAATTTGCCTTATCCAGTGACCTTTGACTGCAAGCGCGAATCTACAACCCAAGCTCTCAACCAAACGATAAAATGAACCTCATCTACCAACCACAAGACAGAATCATCTCTTTGCATGGTTCAAATATGTGTATGGCATTTAACAAATATTTTTCTTTAATCAACGAGGTAATTTCCTATCAGTTTGCATATGCCACAAACATTACAATACAAACAATGCACAAATCAAAGCATTACACCTCCATTTCAACAGTATATATTCAATTAAGGTAGAGATGCAGTTTACCTGACAGGTATTTTAATTAGTTAATTAGGAAACCAAGATGATCTCGCATGTCCACAAAACTATATATTTTCGGAAAGCTCATTGAATGAATTTAAAAAAATTTTAGTGTTTTTTTTTATGGACACTGTAGTTTGAAATATGCACAAAAATGTGCTTTTTGGTCAAAAGTGATTTACAAAAAATTTGCTCCTAAACCATGCTTCTGTTTCCTGTCAAAATTGGTTTGTGGGTACATATGTTTACTATGAAGAAAGCGCCGTCTTGAAAACTGTCTACCAGTTGTCAATTTTGCAGGGCAGCAGCCCAAATTTCACTACTTCAAGTTTATGCATAAATTAACACCCAGGCTAGTTGTCTGTACGATTGTTGTAACACTGTTCAACCAAAAACAATACCCCGACGGCGTTTTAAAGATAAACACATTGTCAATCATTTGTGAAAATTTCAAAACAAAAGGTCAAAGCGTATATGAGCTATTTTCTTTAAAGTTCTGTGATGTGCACTGAAAAGAAGCTGAGATAATTGCCAATTTGCATAACAATTCACTCAGTAAGAAGCTTGCTAATGCTCATAATTAAAATGGCTGTAACAGTTCCAAATTTAAATGTATTATCGTTTTGTTAAAAGTTAAATATAGTGCATAATATGGAGATCCCGTCATTTCTTTTTTTCACCATGTTTCTTTTTTATTAGTTATGTACAGCCTTGCTAAATCTTGCTAAGCATTCAAAAAAGAGAATGTTTGCACCTGTTATCTATAGTTTAAAATCGGTTTTTGAGTAATGTTCCACTATTCACAATTCTACAAAATTTTAACAGTCTATAGCCAAGACTGTTTGGATAATAACAAGCAAAAAAAAGTCACTCCCAAGTGCCCACAAACATGCATCTCTAACTTTAAATTTAAATTTATGTGGTACACTTGATAAACTAAATGACCCACGTAGACACTACATAAAGCATTTTATAAAAATTGAAACATTGAGAGAAGCAAACCAAAAAGTCATTCACATTTACATCGTGACCACAGAGATACGAGAAATACACTAAATATAACGAGTGGACAATTCAGAAAACCCTGCAGGAAAATTTGGTCTATTTGTAGACGGTTTAGCCTCTTTCAGAGGATACTAAAATTAATTTTGTAGACTTGGAACGGCTCCTCATTGCTCGTATGGGAAATAAAAGCCCTAAGTCGATAAGCTGCAGAAATATCATTACTAAAAAGCAATCACCTCATCAAACAGCTAATGCATTATTGAATGTTATCATATTTTGTACATGACAGGGGTATGGCATAACTATGACCAGAATATGAATTATTTTTGATATTTAGGGAAAAACTGAAACTGAAATAATTTAAGAAGCCTGAAATGATTCTTTCGTATATGTTAGTTCACCTGAACCTAATCGTAGACTCATGCTAATATAAATTATGCTCACCCCACTAAAATGAAGAAAGTGAATAGGTACTAATAAAAATAGAAAATATCATGGTAAATGTTGAATCGAGAAAATAAATGACAAAAAGATGTTGAAGCAAGTTGTTAAGTTACCCAACATCTCTTACTTAACTTGTGTGTTTTGTTTGATGACTTAAGTGCGCAAACGAAACATTTTTAGCGGAACATTGGATAAATATACCTTGATGAAGAGAATAATTGATAACGTGGACAGGAGGTGAGATATAATACGGAATATTTGCTCGACTTAGGGGGACGCCATGTTTTACTGATGCTTTAGGATCTCGGGCACTGATATAAGTGACTAAATCGTTTACATTTACAGGTCAAAAAAAACAGAAACACGATAATTACCAGTTAAATATTGAATAAAATCGCCCGGGCAGTAATGCAACTTGCTAAAGAAATTTAATGTACGTGGTAATGTTTTAGTCGATTTGTTTAAAATATTATTTACCACTTTCCGCACTTGAATTTATTCGAATAATAGCGTTTCTTTGCTGACTTTACAAGTTCAGTCAACATTCATATACGGTCATATTTGAGTTGTTTTCAAAGTTTTGGGTTTGGTTAGAACCGATTTAAATATACCCTTTGATGGATGTTTTAATTTTAAAATTATAAGTTATATACTGTATTATAGGCATTATCAGGTCGGAGTGATCGTACATTTGATGCCATGATATATTGTTCAAGTCCGCAATACACGCGATACATAGCTCCAAATTGTCAAATATTCACGATATGATAATGTTTTTTCTTGTTTATGCGGTTTCCACAAAGATGGATTCCAAGTGCATAATTTTGAATATGTTAATACTGGTAAAGGACAAGGATTCAATATTAACCTGCGCTCTTCTGGAGTGGATCATTTATTTGTACACATCTTCAGTTCGACGGTATTTTGAAAGGTCATCACAATTTCACGGAACTTATCTACACGGGTTGCATAATTTGTCTTTATTACTTACGTTTACTTAAACATTAGTGCCCATTGCTCTTTTCCCATTGTATACGGCATATTGTAAAAGGCTTGAAGATCTTGGCCATCACAGATCGAATTCAGCTTCAGAACATTATCAAAATGGGAAATATTTTTTTACGTTTTGTTTATATCATATTTTTGTGGCACGAGGAAACGCATTTCATTTAAAATGAGTCATACAGAAAGTGTCTTGACTAATAACACACACCATTGATTAACATGTATTTCATACCAATTCCATAAAACACGATGTAATACAATAGTGCAAAAGTGTGTTTCCAAATTAAAAGATCCGAACCAAACTACAATATAGAATGCTAACGAGGTAGTCAATTAAATACAATACACGTACATTTGAATAAACAGTGTGTACACTTAAATTCCATATCGAATGACGCGAATATAAACAAATAGATTTAATAGACAATTCCGAGGCAAATATCTCCATCAAATTCACTTCAAGATTAAAATTTCAGATGCCAATAGTATTATGAAATAGCAGAAGACAGAAATAATCTTAAATACATTTACAAAATAGTGCAATAATGTAATAACACGTGGCAATGTCATGAACGGTAAAGTATCTACGAACATGCTTATTCGTATTCAGTTTCAGTAAAAGCAACGTCGTCTTATATTGTTGTATAGATGCACAAAACATGACTTTTTCACAATCGCAATTTCAGAACTATACGGGTCATTGATGATGTAAAGTGAAGTTTACCAAGTATACATTTTTGATAAAAGTCTTTGATAAGCGGATCAATTCTTTAAAACAGGTTATTGGCAGGAGAATAGTTCATTGCTGCGTTTACACGACAGAAATTTATCTGAGCCCTACGGCTCGAGTCAGCAAAATGGCAGTTAATACGCGTTCGGATCGAGCCAAGTTCGGCTCAAATAAATCCGCAGGGTTGAGCCCTGATGGGATTGGGCCCCGACATGGCTCCGGCCGTGTAAACGCATCGGGGCACAATGATCGGGCTAAGACCATGTATTATTTCTACGAGGTTGGACAATAATCGTTCGCTGCATCGTTGCTCATATTCTTTGAGTCTACCTTTTCTCAATGCAGTGCATATTCCGCATTGACTTTCTCTGTCATTCTGACATGCACGTGCCTTGTATAGTAGGAGCAACACAAGCAAGAACCCCAATTCGTTTCAACCATGTTGTTTTCATTCTTAGTAATTAAGAGCGGTGTGACGAATTAGATCGAACTCGGCCGCGGATCTCGGCTATCGTTCGACCCCGACCATGTAAACCCATTGGGGATAATCTCCTGTTAATTGGTGGGAGGAGCAGTATTTTGACTCGATAAAATGCTATTGTGTAAACATAGCACATATAGGAGGGGTAGAAGAAAGTAAATATTGTTTTTCTTTGTTTTTTTGATAATTTACCTACTAATGCATATAAAAACACACAGACAAACAAACATAGTGAAGCTACGATGTCAATTTGCAGTGATCTACTTTATTAAAATACAATAAAATTGCCCACTTTATCCATTACAATTGAAACCACATCCAAATAACCCACACAACTTTTCAGATTCATCCGAATTTTAGTAATAACAAGTACCCTTCACCAGTAATTTAATAATATTCCGAACAACGTTATGCTTATTTTATGTGCCGGATGCCCAAATATTCCACGTCACGCTGTGGTCGTTTCCATGGTTTCAATTATTCACAGCTGTAAAAATGAAAAAAAAAATACAATAAGCTATAAAAATTACATTGCCTGTATTAAGACTGACATTTATGAAGTAAACGTGATCAGAAGTTGATAATATACTAACTAAAAAAATCATAAATTTTGGAAACGAATGTATTAATTATTCGAAAGTCGTATCACTGTATCTCATTTAGGAGTATTACCTTCCTTATTACATAACATTAAAACGAAAAACACAAGTTAATATTTTCAGATTCACGGGCAATTGCGGCCTTAAATATGTACAGTTTTTAATATCATTCAATATTGAATATTACAATAATAATTTTGGTATCTTGATAAATGTTCTGTGTATATTTCATCCACTCAAAACCTTCAAATTTTGGAATCTTTTCAATCGAAATGGTGTTACTGGTAAATACATTTTTTAAAATATGGCGTAAAATGTGACCGAAATAGAAATAGAAACTCTGTGAACAAAATGAAGACATGTATACTGCTGATAGTGAGAACTACGTGGTAGTAAAGTGATCTGTTAATTCGATGTAGGTATAGTAAACCAATGTTAAAAGTGACAAATGCAGTGTCTTCCTCCTGTTTCAAATCTGGTTAGCGTTTTATTTTACTTATATATTACTATTAATTTTAAACTTCTTTTACAGTTAAGGATATATATTTTATAGGAGACATTGCGATTGAAGACGTACATGCGCCATTAATTGAGGAACAAACTAATTAAGTTGTCTTGCCAGATTTTGTTTAGATGAGTTATCTTTATACAATTCAAGTTATAATAGCGACATAGAAATTATCAACGTACATATATTATTATTTGGGGAACATGAACATAACATTTTATGTAATTAAGACTTTTTAGCTTGTATTTTCCGCGCAAAAAGGTTAGATAATACATTATTGCTCTGTTTCAAGAAGTTTACACTGAATTTGAAAAAAAATACATCGATAGATAGCTGACCATCCATATATTTATTTAATGAACAAGATTGTAATAGTTGCACTATTGTTTCATTATGTTTTATTTGCAGTAGACCTTCAAAATTGTAAAAGTACATAGCCAAAACTGTCTGGATATAAAAATAAATGCAAAGAATAACGTTTAGCGGCCCGAGAACTCACGAACATGTACATATACCTTAAATGACCAAATACGGAAAGTAGTATATTGTACGGACAAATCAAAAACACGACGTCATTATAACCCTCACCTTCCGGGAACCATCCAGCTATCTCCAAATTCGTATATATCATCTTTAGTCACAATAACTCCATCAGATTTCATGAAGTCATCCTCAGGATCACCATTAGCGTTTCCTAGTAGACCACAGACATTGCCTCGCATATTAGGACCATTCAAAGCTATATTGATACCATGGGTTGGTTTAGTCCAAACCAGAGATAGAGCAGGGTTATTTAATTGTACGTACACGTGCTCATCTTCTACTTTCACAGTTCCCAATCCATTACCAATTACAGCAGTTGAATTGGTGAAGAGTTGACCTTTTATCTACAGTATGAAAAGAAAGAAATAATAATAAAATTGTTCTTAATGTATATACCACATGAAACCTGTACTTGTACCTGATACATCATTAAAAAAATAACACTCATTAATGTCGAAATTATTGGAATTTTATTTTTTTCATCCAATTTTATATATATTTTAATTATAATGGCTTGTATCAGTGTCATTTAGGTAAGGTCCTATTCAATTTCGATCAAGACACAAGTGTTGACTAGTTTTCCAGCGCCAGGCAAGAAAGGAGGGGCCTAGGACATAATCAAGCAAACGTTCGCCATATAACAAACTCAACTCAACTATTCATGAAACATACAACGCCCAAACTGATTAAACACATTTACATCATTCACTAAAATTTTACTATTGACATAAATGCAATCAAGACAGGCAATTACCAAACGAATGTGCAACGACTTACAAGAAAATTGTCATTCTTGAGTATACGTAGTAACTGCATTCCGTCAACATTAACATCAACAGCATTAATACGAGTTAGTGGTTTTGAACGTAATTCAGAATATTTCCCACGGAATTCAGCAGTCACTTGAAATGATGGTTTGTTGATGTTACTACAGTCCTGAGTGAGAACATATGTACACAGACCTTGGAAGTTGTATCTTACGCCGTCGAACGTTGTCATGTGAGGATCCTGTTCGGTAATTCCTGTAAAAACAACACGTCTTTAACCGTTTTTGTTGTTGAATGTGATATTCTCTTTGATTACGTCATCTAATTACGCACACAGCTAGTTGTGCACACAGCCACTGAGTCAGTGACGCAAACAGTCAGTGTTTATGTATACAAACACTTCAAAATGTTCAAACATTTACCTGCCGTGCAATGGTGTTAAATAAAAGTATATATATTTGTGTGCCGTACTCCAACAAAAATACCACATATCAAGGTTTGTGCGAATACATTGTTCACACTATGTATGATCAAATCAGGTATATCTTACCTGTTGGCTTTGGAGCTATTGTAAGAAAAGAAAGTGTAAAGTTTATTATTATGCAAAATATACATATATGCGTCTAATTCTTTTAGAAACATAATTTAAAAGTATATGAAACTAACGTTTTTCAACTGGAAACAAAATACTTTAGTACTGATACATTCACTACCCTTCACGCATTTGTTTAATATCTACGCTATATACAAATCGTACAAGAGTTATAAAACAAGTAAAACTGCAGATCTATATTTATGATGACAATAACAACATTAGTTTCTTCACCTCAATTTCTTGGAAGTAAAAGTACTTTAATCACATGACAAAATTCTCACGATAGTGTCACCGTTCTTGCTGCATATGAAGAGCATTCATTGCCACATACGTTTTTCTAAATGATACATTTTGTGGTTGGACGCGGGGAGTTATAGTCATATTTCAACAGTTGATATTGAGTTCACATGCGATTCACAAATTTGGCGAATCGTGAACTCTTTATACTGGAACAATGTTACATGCAGGTTTTCCCACTATTTATGGTTTAATTAATTGCAATAAGATACAAATTGTGGTTTCCTTTGTAACCAAATGCAGATCTTTCTCAAAATCAAAATATTTGTACCTGTCGAAAGGATAACCTCTACTGCCATTTTTGTATGGACATTCGTCCCTAGCTTGGATGAGAGTTCAAGCTTCGCATCCCATCACTTCAACATCCGAAATCAATATGGTGCAATATATTCATTTCTTTACTTAACATTTTTTTCACATAACAAAATAAATTCATATTTTGACTCGCACTGAAGGATTTTCATGTTGTTGAAAAATGTATGTTTCAATATAAATTAACCATACTTTTATTATCTTAGAAAGGTGTCATATTGTCGAAGGTGGTATGACAGTTATTGTTTATGTTCTTTAAAACTAGTTACACTAATTCAATAATCAAACCAATACAGTGGTGTACATTTAGAATGTTCAACGGATAATGAAAGGATTTACACTTGTAAATGCTGCTTAGTCGCCCCCTGTAAATCGATTGGGGCTGAACATCAAAGATGCAAAAACATATCATAAAAAGATACAATTCTGGTTTTGAAACCCGAATAGAAAATGTGTTACTTACTGGGAGGAGGAATGGTGGTACCTGTTTTAAAATAAAAAAATACAAATATCAAATCTGTGTGTCAAACTTAATGCCTCTGACAATGGTGCAAGTACACATAGATATGTTCCGTGCAGGTTAATCAATTACTGTTTTATATGTCATTTGTGATTGAAATCTAGTAATATTAGGAGGATCATATGAACAAAATATTACAGGTTGTGTATGATGTTTACATATACTCGAAACACTATAACATATGCCGCATAGAGTCAGTAACATCCACTGGTGGCGCTGTATAATTTCAAAATGTTTAGTGGCTCGCAAAGGTAGGCATGTCTAGGATATAGGTCTCGACGCACGCACGGACGCACACACACGGTCGCATTCGCAGAGGTAATCCTCAAGTCGCCGTTTTTGAACTGTGTCCGAACGGAGACTAATAATGTAGTGGAGAAGACGAACATGCACATTAGAGCCGGTCGGATTCACCTTTCAAAGGTACCATCAATGTCGAAGCCGAATGATTGTATATGTATATGTATTTGATATTTTTTCTTCTATGATCTCAATTTTATGGTCATTGATCTTAACTTTTTGGTAGTTTCAAAGTTTCAACCAGTGCAGGTATTAGATTGTTCGAGGAAATTTTGGCTAAAAACGTGACCGAATGTTTCGTGATCGAAAAGAATGCGATTGCAAATGATGGACGGAACCTCGTCTACCAGAAAATGGATAGATGGCGTGGACTTCGTGTAATTTAGTCTACTTTTTTCTAAATGATACATTTTGAGGTTGTATGCGGGGAATTGTAGTTATTTGTTAACATTTGACATTGAGTTCACATTCGATTCACAAATATGGTGAATCGTGAACTCTTCATACTTGACCATGTTACATGCATGTTTTTCCACTATTTATGGTTTAATTAATTGCAATAAGATACAAATTGTGGTTTCCTTTGTAACCAAAATGCAGATCTTTCTCAAAATCAAAATATTTGTACCTGTCGAAGGATAACCTTTACTGCCATTTTTTTGGACATTCGTCCCTAGCTTGGATGAGAGTTCAAGCTTCGCATCCCATCACTTCAACATCCGAAATCAATATGGTGCAATATATTCATTTCTTTACTTAATATTTTTTTTACTAATTGTCACATAACAAAATAAATTTATATTTTTGACTCGCACTGAAGGATTTTCATATTGTTGAAAAATGTATGTTTCAAAATAAATTAACAATACTCTTGTTATCTTAGCAAGGTGTCATATTGTCGAAGGTGGTATGACATTTATTGTTTATGTTCTTTAAAATTAGTTACACTAATTCAATAATCAAACCAATACAATGGTGTACATTTAGAATGTTGAACAAGTAATGAAGGAATTTACACTTGTAAATGCTGCTTCAGTCACCCCTTGTAAATCATTGGGGCTGAACATCAAAGATGCAAAAAGTATCATACAAATTGTGTTACTTACTGGGAGGAGTGGTGGTACCTGTTTTAAAATAAAAAAATAAAAATATCAAATCTGTGTGTTAAACTTAATGCCTCTGACAATGGTGCAAGTACACATAGATAAGTTCCGTGCAGGTTAATCAATTACTGTTGTATATGTCATTTGTGATTGAAATCTAGTAATATTAGAAGATCATATGAACAAAATATTACAGGTTGTGTATGATGTTTACATATAGTCTCGAAAAACTGTAACATATGCCGCATAGAGTCAGTAAAAGCCACTGGTGGCGCTGCATAATTTCAAAATGTATAGTGGTTCGCAAAGGCAGGCATGTCTAGGATATAGGTCTCGACGCACGCACGGACGCACACACACGGTCTCACTCGCAGCGGTAATCCACAAGTCCCCGTTTTTAAACTGCGTCCGAGCGGACACTATTAATGTACTGGAGAAGACGAACATGTACATTAGAGCCGGTCGGGTTCACCTTTCAAAGATACCATCAATGTCGAAGCCGAATGATTGTGTATTGTATATGTATATGTATTTGATATTTTTTCTTTCGTGATCTCAATTTTATGGTAATTGATCTTAACTTTTTGGTAGTTTCAATGTTTCAACTAGCGCAGGTTTTAGAATGTTCGGGGAAATTTTTGCTAGAAACGTGACCGAAAGTTTCGTGATCGAAAAGAACGGATTGCAAATGATGGACGGAACTTCGTCCACCAGAGAATGGATGGATGGCATGGACTTCGTGCAATTGAGTACGCCCTCCTACTATAGCCTGAAACTTAGCCTTGATGGGTAATTTGTTCAAAATAAAATAAAATATTTCTCTTCGTAACTGCTTGTTTTCATTGTCAATGTGTGATCGAGTGTACATGGCCATGACATATAATAATTGCTTATCACTCGGGCTATTCATACTGGGGATCAGATTCTGTCGTAAATACCAGAGACATCCATAGTTACGCCAGTCTGCAAACGACAAATGTGTTCCTACACTTGTCACACAGGTACGGACAGCACTGTAATTATCAGTTAGCACAGCTCCTCTTGAATAATTTTCACATCGGGGGAAAACAATTAATATATTATAGTTATCCTGAGTGTTTTTGTTGTTGCTATAGGACATTATTCAAGTTACCTTGGCGAGTTCCAAATGAAGCTTGTGTTGAAGTTATATATTTCCGTGATTCAAGATTACAGAAGGTGTGACTCGTACTCACATGACTATCCATTGCAACTTTTAGAAATGAAACAAAAGTCAAAAAATTGACTTTGTTTCAACAAAACTTAATTATGCATTCGTTCAACTAAATTTAATAGATTATAGTATTTTTAGCTGACGTTGTATACAATAATTATGTTAAATTTATATAAAAAATCATTTTAGTGCATCAATATATCGAACTAACAATCATCAGATTTCGGCTGTTTACAAGTGTAGTTTGTTTAAACTTGGTACATACATTAGACATTATGGGCCCTTGTTGAGCTTGATCTTGTTTTGATGGTTCTAGGGCCATATCTCTGAAATTGTTTGACTGATTATGTTCAAATTGTATATATTCATCATACATCATGTCATAGATATACAGATGTGTTTACAATGGCCAACCGGCGACTATTTAATTTTGATGTTTTTAACAGAACAACACGTTCGAAAACAACAAACGAGCAATATATACTCGTCCGTGTGGAAGATTTTGTCTTATAGCAAGACACGAAATCTGAACATTTGAATTTGAGAGTTCCGCTAAACCCTGTAAGCGAATGCATATAAGCAAAATGTTATAATGATAATTACAAAACCATCCGGGAGTACACTAACTACACAAGCAAATTGTCATTCATCTTAATGCAATACCGTTACCCACGATGTAATTGCTATTGTCTACTTGCAATATAAAATCACAGTTGTACTTACATTCTGGTGGACTCACATCTTGCTGATCTGTTTGTATGTATTGGACTTCACGTTTCTTAGAACCATCCTTTACAAGGCCATACCATACAGTATATATCTTATCTGCAGGTGCCGTGAATGTAATTTGTTTTGAAGTTTGACCAGCTGGAATAGTAATTACCAACGGGCCAATAACAACTGTGTTTCCGTCTTTCAGCGAAACATGAATTTTTGTATCTGTGTCATACGCCTTTTCAAGTACAAAATTTACATATATGGTCTTTCGATTGTCACCGCACGGCCACGTTGCTGTAAAAACTTGGACCCACTTCGTGCCTAGGAAAACAATTTACTATGACTGTTTGGCCAAGGTTCTTTATTAACACCACTTCTATGGTGCCATTTTCACACGTGTTCCAGTCTGCATCAAATGTAAAGCCACCTGCAAGATATAATGTATATGCATATTATTAAATATTATATTATAGCATTGTCAATACCAGCGAATTTTATAACGTCATTTTCATTATTCGCGATAATGTATTGCATTATGTATTTCCGAGTTAAACCTGTGGTTAATTCTTGTTGCAGGGCCACTTTTTTAGCCGTGCATTATCAGCCAATATAACATTAATTGCATATGCAAATATTATGTTTGGACCAATCAAATCTATGGATTAACACCATCAATATACTGGTATAATATAATATTTATTTACTTATACGTCGGGCTTTAGTTTGATTTCGCCTTCATGACAATGCCCTGACAGATTGCAGCTTCACTTATTTGACATTAAATCATGTAACCTGTCTGGTTGGTCTTTATTTTGTTACTAGAAATGTTGAGTGTTGCCCTGACACCTACGTTAGGATGTCGTTTCACATTTAGTGGTGATATTTAAAGTCTAGTGTTTAACATAAGAGAGGTTCTGGCTTACTATTTTTAACAGCTTTTATTTCAGTAGCCTTTACTTTGTTAAACCACTTATTCAATGCGTTGAAAGAGCAGTTGTGGAGAAACACGTCGAAAGACTACACTAACATGAAGATCTGTGTCACAGCGTTGACATTTTCAGAAATACCCATCAAGACAAATATAATGAATGCTTTCTAGTGGCTGTATTTACTGTATATTTCGGGTGGATACATGTCTGCAAGGGCATCAAATCAGACACTTTTAAAGACTGTTGTTGAGGTGCGCATACTGCACAAATTGTTTTTTGAATAATTCCGAGCTACCAGATTGAGTTAACACCAAAGGTAATAAGATGATATTCTAGTTGGGTGGGTGGTAAAAAAATGGAACTCTAGTTAGCCATTGCCCAGTATCATCCACTATATCAGACATATATTTCTCGCTGCCAGTGGTTGTTCAAAACAAGAAATCAGTCACCAATATGAAAAAAAACAATATGTCTTTTTAAAGAATGTATGTTGTACTTCATTGTGGACAAAACTGGAATGTGCATCTCTTCTTTTGGAAAGCAGATGTTGTTCATCGACAGCACCTAGACACTCATTTCTGTGTTGTACACTGGGAGATGGCTACTCAATTCTAGAATAAAGTAGTGTGATACGGTTGTAGCCATATACATATTTAAGAAGTTTAATATTTATGCTTATACATAAGCAGACTCCTTCAACACCACCATCCTATTCATACGTTGCCCACCTAGATTGTATTACAAAAGGCATTTACTTCAAGCCGTAATTGTCAAATTAGAAGTAAAATATGAATACCCCGTTTTTATATTAAAAAAAACTAAAAAAAAAAATATAAAATATTAGGAGATCAGTTACTGAACACTGGGCCTAAACTTCCTGTTACCACTAATGGCGCACTTCCGGCAGCCTCCTTCTGACAGATTTACTCGTGATTTAGTGAAGGTCGCTTATTGTTTGTAACATGCATAGGGAGTCTGGACCATGCTGTCATAATAACTTTGCAATATGGAGAAACATGTGTCTTTTTACCTAATTGTTTTGACCAAGTAGACAATAAACATGTACAGAACATGGTATATCTTGGTGATTTAACTGCAGAAAAAATAACACAAAGATACAACACAGTATAATAAAGGATCAGTAAGAAGCTGACTCAAATGTATGTCATTTCTTGTTTAGGTTTGAATGAAATTATGATATTGTAAGTGTTATACAGTTATTATTTACAATAGTAAATATATTGTGTATTTCATTATTTAACTTTTCAGATTTTAAAATATTGTGGCATCTTATGTGTGTGTGGGGTGGGGGTCGCTTTGCATATATAATTATGCATAATGGTCAACCAGTGCGAGCCCCCTTCAAATAGTTACTATAACGACCGTACATTTAAATACCGCAATATTTACCCTGATTGCAATTTCAAATGACAACAATTTGGATTTTTAGGGAATTATATAATGTTTACCATTTGAAAATGATATTCTCATAAAATAACAAAATTGCTATTAAATATAATTTAACTTTTTAACCAGATTTTCCAAAAATGCAATTATAGAATTATAAATTATTTGCTTAATTAGTATCGCATGTGTACATTTTTTATAGTTATAGAAATTTTATTCCGCGTGAAAACGAAACAAATCCACAGTGAATAGAGCAGCGTAAACACACAAATTAGCATGACAAAAGATGACCTCTCTGACCTTTTACTGACTGCGTCAACGCCATTTGAAATACAGGGTTGTGTACAGTTTGGATCATTAAAGCAACGGATTTTCCACGTTTTCATTCCGGCTTTTGAACAATTTGGACTGTAATTTACGCATTGAAAGTACAGCTGTGAAATAAACCGGTTTTGTGGCTCATCATACTACTTGTAACTGTGGATATTTGACGTTCAGCGGTACTTAGTTTGAACAAAGTTTGAGACATGGCCGGACGCGGTGGTGTATCACGTACGGTGACCGGCACGGCAACCTCAGTTCCAACGTCTGACCTGCATACATATTTGGTATAACCAGAGTTTTGTGACATTATGCCTGACAAGTTCTGTCGTTGTTCTGGGGTAAGTTTGATGGTGTAAGATTCTCGCATCTTTTTTTGTGACACGTACATGATATGCCTTGTCTCAATTCCGGCCGAATGAAGGCCTTTGGACACCGGCGTATGAAGCGCGGAATGTAAATTTATTATTTTGTGTATATTAGAATAAGAGGTACTAATAAATCCAAACCACGTACGTATTGGAGCCCGTGACCGACACTGCCAGAAGCCTGTCGATTTATCAGATATAACCAGTAATTCGCCCCATGGGCCGAGACGTCCACGTATTGCCTTCAGCAACCAACCACACGAATAAATCGACAGGCCTCTGACAGTGTCGGTAAATTTATAGGGCTGAATCGACATCCTCGGTTCGTAGCAGTTTAATAATAAAGTTGCATATTCCTTCAGACCAAAATTGAATCAAAAATTACCTTTCGTGTTATTTTATAGAAGGAAATAACGCACTTTATGACACACAATGCAGCAATTTTCTTACATTTGCTGACCACCGCAAATCACATTTTTGTAATTTATTTGAACCCATAACTACCATAACCACGACAGATGGCAATCTGCTGCCTTGGCTTTGTCTCTCAACAGAATTTTGATGAAAGAATATCATTCACTGCTTATATTTAATAGTGCTATTCATTAATGCCAAATAACAAACGAATGTGATCAGAACAATGCTGTATATGTGACACCATGTGCCAGCAAATATCAAGATGTCATTCAATACCGAATAATATACACTACTCTTTCAAATAAATTGTGAGGTTTTGTGCACTTTATTCAGTGCTAATTATTGGCCGTTGAACTAGTAAAAATATCACTTTTTAATGAAGACGGCAGGTTAAATTTTTCACCGAGGGGGTCATTGAAGTCATTCATATTTTTGAAATGAAAATTGTGTAATGATTAAGCAGAATATCTACTATTTTCTGGCAGTAAGGTTTAGCAAATTTGCAAAGTGGAAGGCAATTCAGGAATTGTTTGGAAAAATAATGATGTCCTATAGAACTAACACAATGTAAAAATAACGCCTGCAATTTTGTCACTTTTCAGTTTATGAATATTGTTGGTTCTTAATAATGTTTTTATTGTAATTGGAGTAACACACTGAGTCACATACAATATTTTTGATTATGGAACATTATTTGTGTTCTGTTTAGTCATACAAAACTCTTTTCAAAGCTTTTCAATGGTGACGCTCAGCTCTCTTTGTCGTTCTATAATTTGGTGAAATTAAATTTCGCCGTATGATTGCATACGTGTAAACATTATTTATAAGACATTTTAGAAGGACTATAAAAATATATATATATCAGCTAACTTAGAATTGCAAGATAATCAGACGAAAAGAAATGCAGCAGTATGTTTGTGTTGTAAGTATGCAAAGACCAGAATAACATTTTGTCTAAATTTTGCTAACATTGTGGGTGAACCATGGTAAGGATTGGTTAGCGGCACCACGTGTTTGTGATCAATGATTTGCTTGCACATATTGTGTTGTGTGTATTGATTGTGAACATACTGCGCATCGTTTGATACTATCAGCACACAGCGTTCAGGATATGTTATTCTCGTAATGATTTCATAGTAATAATAACAGTTACATGTACGATGCTTGCTGTACATTAGTCAGCATGAATCAAAATACTTTTTTCAGCCATGTGTTTAACATACATATGCTTATATAGGTTCCATATTACAGTTTATTCTTGTCTGTGTGTATACAAACCCTCTATCATAATCCGTGCAAGAGTATTCACTTTACACATGCCAGTAATTGAGAAATATGCCCTTATTTAAGTTACATCTCGTTTTATGTGGAATGTATTCAATTTAAGACATATAAACTATCAACCGTCAAACCTTATCAAACTTTTCTTGTTATTTTTAATAACTACAGGCATTATTTAAAAGACATAAGACATTTTTCTTAATTTGACATTAGAGTAATTAAACAACATTCAAACGTTAGTATTTATTCGGCCTGATGATGTTATCAACATGCTGATCGTGATAATTAAAAGCACACATAAATGTCAGAATTTTTTTATAGAGACACATTGACATGTAACTAGGAATTGCAACTTGTAGAAATGTGCAAAAATTGCAATTTATAAATCGAATTATTTTTTTTCCAAACCTTCATATTTTGTGTATACATGTTTTGTAACATCTACCATTATATAATGACTAAGAGGAAATAACATACCAAACCATAAACCTGAATCTAAAGGTCGTATAGGGTAAGGTGAATGTCTAAAAAAACACAAAACAAAGGACTGTCACCAATCGACAAAACAATCCACGAAACGGTCAAATACCGA